AATGACAGTTTTTCAAGTTGAATGTTTATTTGTATATATTTTTGCAAGTTAGAGGTTTTTTTAGGGGTTTTACCCTTTTTTTTATATATATAAACAAACTATTGCTATAACATTTTTGTATATGGATAATTTATTTAATTAAATTATAAGAATATTTAGTTAAAAAAATATGCTGAACTTGGATGATGTGAGACACTAAAGGGAGTTTTGGAGCTATAAACATAATGCTTTATAATAAATATAACATTATTTTTAGACATCACAGATGCATATTCTTTGTGATCTAGTAGATTAGTTTTACAGGTTTCATTTTTTTAATTGAGCATAAGATGTTTCTAGATACAGATTTAAAAATATAGTCGGTGCAATAACCACGTAAAAATAATAATAATTACAGTAGTAGAATTTTTTTTATAATTATCTAGTATCTTTGATTGCAGGCGTGCAAATCGATGTTAATTGATGGTAATTAGGTGGGATTAAGGCTTAATTAGCAACGCACTTAATTGTACCAACTTGATTAACTGATATGATTAAGACGTGCTTACTTCATATCTAACTCAAAAGATTCCGTATCGCACGCTTTCTAGCTTAGATTTTGAGTATAATCAACAATCACCAAATATTTCTAGAAAATTCGGGGAATCGAATTAGTTCCTGAATCTGAATATAATAATAAAATCCCTAATTGTTATGTTATAGTTATTAATGAAATGTATCTCAATGGATTATAGTTCAAGTGGATAGAAACGGTCCATTTATGATTAAAAAAATCTCTATTATAAGAGGGTACGAAGAAAAACAATAATTTTGTAATCTTAATCATTTTTATTTTTTTACAATCAAGAAGTTTATCGAACTTTTACCCCAATTACATTTCCTAAAAAATCGAGAAAATCCAGATGAATATTGTTCTCTACGCTTAGATTTAAACTCAGGATAAAAGTACAAAACTAAATATATTTTGCATGTTCTCTTACCACCATGTCATCCAAACTTAGATCATTTTCATCATTTGTTTTAAAAAGACGGTATTGTTATATTTGGAAATGATAATTTGAGGATTTTACTGTATTATTTGAAGATAGTAAATCTCCTTGTTATAAAAGAAAATAAGACAAGATGGTCCAATAAAATTATTGTTCGAAAATTTCGGTATATATATATTACATAATGTTATAAGACGTGATATATAATAGACATTATATATCGAAGCGAAGCCTAAAGTTTTTTTTTTGGGAAAATGACATTTTTCTACACCAATTTAGTAAAATGTGACATTTTCTTACACGAATTTTTAATTTGACAAAAACCTACACTATATTATCAGATGTCCCAAATCTATACACAAATTACCCAATATTACTGCAAGTTACTACTCAATCCGAAACGATGTTAAAATGTCCGTTAATTGATGACGTAGAAGGCCACGTGGCGGTTGGCGTGGAAGGCCATTGGAAAATTTTGTCACGTCAGCACGTCGTCAGATTTTCAAAAAAAAATTAAAAAATTAAAAAAATTAAAAAAATTAAAAAAATTAAAAAAATTAAAAAAATTAAAAAAATTAAAAAAATTAAAAAAATTAAAAAAATTAAAAAAATTAAAAAAATTAAAAAAATTAAAAAAAATTAAAAAAATTAAAAAATTAAAAAATTAAAAAAAAATAAAAAAAAATTAAAATCGAAAATAAAATAAAAATAAAAAAATAAAAAATACATATATATACATACAAACATATATAAATACATATACATATATACATGTATATATATATTTTATAATTATCTAGTATCTTTGATTGCAGGCGTGCAAATCGATGTTAATTGATGGTAATTAGGTGGGATTAAGGCTTAATTAGCAACGCACTTAATTGTACCAACTTGATTAACTGATATGATTAAGACGTGCTTACTTCATATCTAACTCAAAAGATTCCGTATCGCACGCTTTCTAGCTTAGATTTTGAGTATAATCAACAATCACCAAATATTTCTAGAAAATTCGGGGAATCGAATTAGTTCCTGAATCTGAATATAATAATAAAATCCCTAATTGTTATGTTATAGTTATTAATGAAATGTATCTCAATGGATTATAGTTCAAGTGGATAGAAACGGTCCATTTATGATTAAAAAAATCTCTATTATAAGAGGGTACGAAGAAAAACAATAATTTTGTAATCTTAATCATTTTTATTTTTTTACAATCAAGAAGTTTATCGAACTTTTACCCCAATTACATTTCCTAAAAAATCGAGAAAATCCAGATGAATATTGTTCTCTACGGTTAGATTTCGAAAGGTATTTGTTATGAAATTATTACAAAAAAAATGCAGTGAATAAAACATATATTCGACGGCAAACCACAGCATTTTGCATGTTGGACGATAAAGTTTGTTCCGTGTTGAATACCTTTCGAAATCTTTTTTTTTTTTTTGATAATCCGAAATCTTTATATATACTTACGATAATTTAATCAAAATAAACGAAAATCATGCATGTAATCATATGAACAGTTACGGAAACGCATGATATGTACAAGTGGCTTACAACATGTTATCCCCTTCGATTATTTAATATATATATATATATATTGAGTTTTTTTATATATTTTATATATAATAAATAACAGCGAAAGAGATAATATTTACTTATAAACACCGTGATCCATGAGCTCCAAAAGGCCAAGTTAAAAGACTTCGATTAAATCTTATAAAATGTTCCATTTTCAAAAAATTTAAAAAGGTTCTTATACTAATTAGTCAATGTAAAACACACCATTGGATTGCGAAATTTTAAATTTTGTCATATAAAAAAATATTATGTTTGGACGCTTCAAATAGTTTGAGAATTGTTCATATATATATATATATATATATATGTGTGTGTGTGTAAGAGAGAACCCCACCTAACGTCGAGTTTCATCATCGAATCGCTAAACATCGCTATGATATGTGTTGTATTATTATATATAATATAACCACATTCACGACAAGATATCATCGTTATCTCTAAACATAAACCCAATGTCCCATCATTAGACAACAAACACACAACACGCTGCCTACACAAATTCGGGGATTGAATGACAGTTTTTCAAGTTGAATGTTTATTTGTATATATTTTTGCAAGTTAGAGGTTTTTTTAGGGGTTTTACCCTTTTTTTTATATATATAAACAAACTATTGCTATAACATTTTTGTATATGGATAATTTATTTAATTAAATTATAAGAATATTTAGTTAAAAAAATATGCTGAACTTGGATGATGTGAGACACTAAAGGGAGTTTTGGAGCTATAAACATAATGCTTTATAATAAATATAACATTATTTTTAGACATCACAGATGCATATTCTTTGTGATCTAGTAGATTAGTTTTACAGGTTTCATTTTTTTAATTGAGCATAAGATGTTTCTAGATACAGATTTAAAAATATAGTCGGTGCAATAACCACGTAAAAATAATAATAATTACAGTAGTAGAATTTTTTTTATAATTATCTAGTATCTTTGATTGCAGGCGTGCAAATCGATGTTAATTGATGGTAATTAGGTGGGATTAAGGCTTAATTAGCAACGCACTTAATTGTACCAACTTGATTAACTGATATGATTAAGACGTGCTTACTTCATATCTAACTCAAAAGATTCCGTATCGCACGCTTTCTAGCTTAGATTTTGAGTATAATCAACAATCACCAAATATTTCTAGAAAATTCGGGGAATCGAATTAGTTCCTGAATCTGAATATAATAATAAAATCCCTAATTGTTATGTTATAGTTATTAATGAAATGTATCTCAATGGATTATAGTTCAAGTGGATAGAAACGGTCCATTTATGATTAAAAAAATCTCTATTATAAGAGGGTACGAAGAAAAACAATAATTTTGTAATCTTAATCATTTTTATTTTTTTACAATCAAGAAGTTTATCGAACTTTTACCCCAATTACATTTCCTAAAAAATCGAGAAAATCCAGATGAATATTGTTCTCTACGGTTAGATTTCGAAAGGTATTTGTTATGAAATTATTACAAAAAAAATGCAGTGAATAAAACATATATTCGACGGCAAACCACAGCATTTTGCATGTTGGACGATAAAGTTTGTTCCGTGTTGAATACCTTTCGAAATCTTTTTTTTTTTTTTGATAATCCGAAATCTTTATATATACTTACGATAATTTAATCAAAATAAACGAAAATCATGCATGTAATCATATGAACAGTTACGGAAACGCATGATATGTACAAGTGGCTTACAACATGTTATCCCCTTCGATTATTTAATATATATATATATATATTGAGTTTTTTTATATATTTTATATATAATAAATAACAGCGAAAGAGATAATATTTACTTATAAACACCGTGATCCATGAGCTCCAAAAGGCCAAGTTAAAAGACTTCGATTAAATCTTATAAAATGTTCCATTTTCAAAAAATTTAAAAAGGTTCTTATACTAATTAGTCAATGTAAAACACACCATTGGATTGCGAAATTTTAAATTTTGTCATATAAAAAAATATTATGTTTGGACGCTTCAAATAGTTTGAGAATTGTTCATATATATATATATATGTATGTATGTATGTATGTATGTAAGAGAACCCCACCTAACGTCGAGTTTCATCATCGAATCGCTAAACATCGCTATGATATGTGTTGTATTATTATATATAATATAACCACATTCACGACAAGATATCATCGTTATCTCTAAACATAAACCCAATGTCCCATCATTAGACAACAAACACACAACACGCTGCCTACACAAATACATACACCACACAAGCATATATGGTTATCTATATATATGCATACGTATACATATATATACGTGTAATTATATGGAAAACAATGAGCAAGTAGACAGTGGTTTTCGCCGATTCTGTCCTTATCTCTCTTAGCTGTTCTACATCAATCCGTGGGCCATGCCTCCTTAACGTACTCTCTCTGCTCATAGTCGTATATATAAATGAACCTTCCTTGTTCATACGTCCCCATAACGTCTCAGATTTCTCTTCCTCAGACAGTTCTTCTTCATCAAACCCTACCGATATATACACACATACACAAAAAACTGCAATCCTTTTAAAGAAACCCTTCTGTTCAATCATCCACCAATGGCCAAAGTCGGGAAGTTGACGAAGCTCAAGTCGGCAATGAAGAGATGGCCGTCGTTCACAAAGACCCACCACTCCGCCTCCGCCTCTGCCACCGTTTCCGGCGACTCCTCCGGCGTGGAGCTCCCGAAGGGAAACGGCGGCGATAATCTCCACGTGGTTTACGTAGGGAAGTGTCGGAGACCGTACGCGTTGAGCTCCGACATCATCGGACACCCACTCTTCCAAGAACTCGTGGATCGGTCTTCAAGATTCGCCGAGCACGATCGAGAGATCGTTGTCGCCTGTGAAGTTGTCCTGTTCGAGCACTTGCTTTGGATGCTCAAGAACATCAACTGCTCCCATGGAGATGGTCATGATGGATTCGGAGGAGGATCCATGGAAGAATTGGCTGAGTTCTACACTTATTAACCGTATTACTATACGTTTAATTCATATAATAACCCTCTTTGAGGATTTGATATTGTATTCGATCGTTACACGCGATCTCAAAACGTGTCATTAATTTGCTGTTTTTTTCGAGCAATCTCGAGATTTGAACTCTGAGAAAAAAGAGGATCAATGTGGAAAGGATTTCTCACGGTTTGAATTGTTTAAAGAAAAAAAAAGAGAGTTATTTTATAATCTTTGTATGTTCATCCAATTTTTTTTATATATATGGACCGATGTTTTTTTTATATCTTATTGTCAATCTAGTTAATGATATTGGTGACTCAATGCATCACATTTCATATATATATATATATATATACCGAATTTTGTTTTTGGTCCATTTGTTTTCTATTTATGGCACGTTATCTTTTTTTGGGGTCGATTTTGTTATGTCTATTTGAATTGCCACTTTCGATTACATAATCGGAGCCTCCGATGACGTTTGAAGTTCTTGAAATTGATGAGTCGGTCCATTTTAATAAATTGGTTATTTGCCTCCTCTTTTCTTATACACGTATATAATTTATATATGTGTATATATACATACTTCCTCTTTTCTAATTAATAATGATGATGCTTTATCCCTTTTTACAATTTTTTGTTAAATAGAAAAAATACGTATCATAAAGAGAAAGATATAATAATTTTTGTGTCGATTCTTGAATTAAAGAAAAATAGTCGCTCTCACGCGCAGGTGGGTTGGTCCCAATTTTATGGTCCTACTCTCTTATATGTTTTTTACATTAATATTTTTTTATTCGTATGTTATTCTATATATTGGATATATGAATATATACAAACGATAATATAGATATCAAAGAATATAAATGGCAACAATCCAAAAACTCTATTGGGCCGAAGAAAAAAAAGAAAATTAGACGACGAGGGTAATGTTAAAAAATCAAAATTTTAAAATCTTAACTAAAATTTAGAAAAAGTGGGATAAAGTTTCAATTGATATACAAATAGGCTTTCATATTCCAAGCATGCAAAAAATTGAAATAAAGGAAATAATTGTCACAGAATGTAATTAGAAACAGTGTTATATTACACATCGTACGATGTTATAATTAGTACTTGATAGATATAATTATTTATGATGTGAAGTTTCCACGTTAAGCTTAATTAGGTACAATCTTCTCTTGCCTCCGACACTCCTATCATTGAGAAGACAGCCGTGTCCTTCACCAAATTTCATGGAACTTATAACCACTTCTGTTTTTTATTTCCTGAATATATCTGTTGCTATATATATATATATATATATATGGTGAATATTATAACTGATACTAAATTGCAATGGCTATTATTATAAAAATGTTCGGTGCTGGGTTCGATTCCACCGGTGAAAAATGATGTAATTTTTGGACCACAATGGTCCATATACAAAAACTGGTCTCTGATCTAGGGTAGATGTAGTCGGACCGAAAACTCGGGAAACTATCTTGGTTATCAAAAAAAAAAATAATTGGTTAGTATATTATTGTATTTATCTACCAAACGTGTACGTAGACTAACAAAAGGGTTGACATATATATATATATATATATATATATATATATATATATTGGTTGGCATTATTCATTAATTAGTATTTGTTGTTGATTATAATGATTAGTTCCGATTAAACAATTAGTTAAAGTGATGATCATGATTATCACCATATGTGTATTGTGCGCGTACATACATTAATGCATGCCTGTATTTGCATGTATGTGAATACGTGTTCTATGAACATACGTGTGTGTATGTATATATTGATATCAATCTATATTTTTTATACACAAGCGGAAAATATTTTGTAATTAATAATTGAGAAATTTATTACTCTTTATGTAATTACAGGCTAAAAAAGATTCATTCATATTACCATTCAATAAACAAAAAGACTCGTCCACACAAATTTGGAATCCTTACATATATTGCAACGGCGACAGTGAAGGATTTAGATTGTGATTGTTCGAAAAATAAAATTTCTGTTTAGTGGATTTTATTTTATAAAATCATTCAATAAGTATTTATTTAAAAAATTACTCAAAATAAAAAATTAAATTAAAAATCCATTATATATTAGACGATAAACAATGAATATTATAGTTGTAATTTTCGGCCCGAAATGGTCATATGGGCCTTAAACATGGCTCAATACGAGAAATGGGCTTTTTAAAACGACAACGTTTCGTTGAGTAAAGATCGATGTGCTTCTTCCACGTCGGGCTTCGAGTTGGGCTACCTCTAAATCGGGGACCAACGGCGACGGCGGTACGTGAGTTCCTAATATGCTTCGATTTGTAACCCCCGAATGGATGGTGGATGCCCAGAAAGAAAATGCTTTGAATCTTGCGAGTTTTTTTAGTTTGTCGCAACTATCAGATTTCTTTATGCTTTTCTGCGATCTTTGAAGCAGAGACTGCTGCTTTAGATTTTTCAAAGTTTTTAATTAGTGGGTACCTGTGGTCTAGCCCTGGAGATTTCTCAGGCATATGTTTCTGTTTCTTTTTGTTGTTGGGCGCTTGGGATCATCGGTTCTGTAACTTCTCGATTTATGCATTTTGAGTGTTTGTCGAAATGCCCCAGTAGATTGTAGTCGAATCGGGAGTAATGTGACTTCCTGCTCAATATCCGATCTACTACAGAATGGCATCTTCTCTAAAAAATATGATTTTTGGGAGGAAAGGGCTCCGAATTGAGGCCTTAATGCTACCGGAGTTACCGTCTCCATTGTAAACTTCTTATCCGTTTTGATGGATAGCAGAACATTTATTCTTGTTATGAGGGTGAGGCTGATTTGATTTGATATGCAAAAAGAGTAACCTTTTTTGTTCCTTGATATTGTTGGATTGTGATCTATTTGCGTCTGGTTTGTGGGTGTAATTCTAGTCGTAAAAAAGGTTGGAGCTTGACGTTTACTTCTTAATTGCTAGCAGTTTATAGAATCAACATTGAAACTCCGCATTTCCATCGGGGAAAACAGTAAAGTTTTGAGGGCTGATCCCATCGATTGAGGAGCTTCAGAGGCATGTCACGGTTTCGATCACTGCTGCAAGCCTCAGTGAATGCGACAAAGAAGGGTATTTTCTCTTCCATCTTTCGATGAATTACAATGCATTACACTTGCTGCGATTTACTGATTTCATTGCACATGAGCTCATGGGGATGTGTTTCTTTTTGTTGAGTATATACTTAGGCTGCTACAAAACGACGGATGATATGTGCTTATTTTTTGCAGTTTCAAATCTAAGAACGGATGATTTCCGGCTAGTGGGTTTATATTCCAGCACTTCATATAACTCTCGAAAGATGGAGATTTATATTTGTTTTTCCTTCTGTTAATTTTAGCGGAAGTTTCCAGTAAGCTAATAATATTTACTTGTTTTTCTCATTGCACAAACTGCAGCCTTTACGTGGAACACTGAAGAATGGTTACCTCCTGCAGAGAAGCATATCTTCAAGTTCAGTTCGAAAGAAGACCTGAGGAAGTGGCACCTGTATTCTGATTCCGAGTATGGAGGTACTTAAGCTCACATGTTCAGGCATCTGCTCAGTTGAAACTTGAAAGTATCTGATTGATTGGTCATTATCATATTTATCTTTCATTGTCATGTCTCCTGTCATTCATATGAAAAACTAGTAGTGATCATTGTTATATTTATCTTTCATTGTCATGTCTCCGTCATTCGTATGAAAAACTAGCAGAACAAAATAAGATTTCTGGTTGCACACATAGAATTGCACTGCATAGAATTTGATACATATGATCTGCTTTTTATTTGTTTGAAATTATTTTACAGGACTATCTTCTGCTTCATTGGAGATTGCAGATGGAAGAAATGGATCAAATTGCCCTGGTTAGTATGTAGCAATGAAGTGAGACTGTCACTTTTTAATCTCTGTTGCATTTCTCTTTTGTCTGATACATCTTGATTAACGTTTGCCTAAGCAAGGCATAATCAGTAGCACACGCTGGAACCTCACGCCGAAAATTGCTTCTGTGATATATGACTGCTGACGTGTTCATCACTGGGGTCACTAGAGACACTTTTCTCCCGCAATCTACGTATTTTATTCCCTGAATCGTCAATTTCTTTGACATAGGTGCTAAGTTGTGTAATGAAATCCTTACATAACCATCAAACTATCAAGTTTCTGGTTTCCAGGATGCTTTAGCCCTGAATTAATATTTCTTAAAGCTTCTTGTTATCTACTGACCCAGTTAGTGACCTTTTTCACCCAATAACTTGTCTAGGAATTTTCTCGGGGAACCTTTCCCTGGACGTTAGTGAGGGTTCTAAATGGAAAATCACTCGAAGTGGTTTCTGTGGAATGCGCTCTAAGCAGGTACTAAAATTGCTTTCTATTTTCTTACATACACAAGTATCATTATTTAGAACCCAGATTCTACGTTTTTTTTTTGCATTTTACTTCTGGGATTTGTAATATGATTAGACATTTCAGTTTCTCTATTATACAATGCATTTAGGTGAGTCAGGTCTTTCAATTCATGTCTTCAGACTAAATTGAATATTTGAGTTTTACCATGAGTCCATGACCATAAAAAAATAGCAAAGAGCTGTCACAGGAGGTGTATTCAGAATCTTATGCATATGTGTGCATGTGCATGTGTATTCTCCATTGGAGTGGAATAACCACTTTCCTCATTCTGCAGTTTGATGGATTCATTGATCTCGACGGCTACGATGCTGTAGCCCTGAGGCTCAAAGGAGATGGAAGATGTTATATTTCAACTGTGAGTTTTATGCTTATGCTTCCCCTTCCTCTAATTCAGATCAGAGATGAGAGGTTAACCTGATTTTTTTTTTAATTTTAGATCTATACCGAGAACTGGGTGAATTCACCCGGACAACCAGAGGATAATTCATGGCAAGCTTTTGTCATTACCCCAAAGGATGACTGGTATACTGCTAAGGTGAGTTCTTCTTCAGGCATATGCTCGATTCAAACATGCAGACAATTGAACCTGTCTTTGCTTTTAAAAGTCGGGAAAACCCTCCTTAGATTTCGTTTATAGGATCAAAATATCCTTTTTTATAGATGAAAATAGTAGTCTACAGTTTTCGTAGTCAAGGCATATTATGGCACTTAATGACAATTTTTTCGATTTTTTCTTTCACGTCATCACCTGATCTCATCTCATATAGGGGTTGGATACCCGGATTCCGGGCTTTCTCCCCGCAACCCCGCTCTATGGCATATCAACTACATCTCTTGTAGGCGATAACCCGGATGAGAATGTTTTTTTGCAGATACCGTTTGCTCGATACTTGCCGACATGGAGAGGGAACGTGATAGATGCGCAGATGGAGATGAACCTCGGTCGTGTTCTAGGCATGTCTATCTCAGTTAACGCAGAAGCCGGTGTCGATGGATCCAAATCAGGCGCTGGAGATTTTCGAGTGGAGATTGACTGGATCAAAGCATTACGAACTGACTAATACGTAAGTCGTTGATCGTATTCTGCAATGACTTCTTTCTGTTTGTTACTTGTAACGCCAAGCTTTGCAATCTCTCATGGCTTATTGTCTGAAAGATTTTGGCTTTCTTTGCGGAATCATTGCACGATCTATTGCTCTGTAATAAATTATATTGCTTCTGTTATTTAGTCCTTGAATCTATTTGCTTAAAATGTATTACAATTACAAATACATAACAGCTATTTGCTTAAAATATTATAATAAAAACGAAGTTCGTATGTTCAATCAATGCTATAAAATTCAACATGCAACCAAAAGAAACCAGTTTGTTAAATAAAAATGTGTCTTCCTTCTTATTATTATTATTATTATTATTATTATTATACAACGAAACACATGCATGATAAAAGTAGTGACGAGGAAAGAATATCAAAGGATAAGGCAAGACATGGGAGGGAAACATGTTGCATGTTATGAACCTTACATCATTACCCGCACATTTAGAAACCACCATATCTATATCTATCTATATCTATATATATATTCATTTTTATGTTATTGTTTTCCTTGTTAATTAATGTTATTTACCGCGAATTATATATATACGGTCGCAAAAAATATAAATTAGGATATGTTGGGTGTGTTATTTTATATGTCTCATATTCATGCATAGTTAACTTTCAATTTCATATCAAGACTGTCCAAGTTTAATAACTTTCAGAACATACGACCAAATCATCCATGTTATACACCATTAGAAAGATAATTTTGATATCTACGAAACGATATCAAGAACATGCAATTCCGATAACGGTATAGAAAGTTATGTTCAAACCAACATCATTATATCAATATGATTTTTGTTTTAAAACCGGAAAACCAAATCCGAACCCACGGCGAACCGTGTCTCCTTAAGGAAATTATTCCCCGCGCGGTACCTACGGTTAATGGAATATATCCTCCCAGGATAGGACAGACGTACCTCACCGGAACAGTGGTACTTCAAACTCCGGTGCCTTGTCGAACTCAAAGCTCGGTTTGAATCACAAAGGAAAAAAGATGATTTTCTTTCTTTTGTAGAAAGCTTTTGTGTTTTTCTTGATGTTCTTAAAAATGAAAACAAAGCCTCCTATTTATAGGATTGAAAAATTGTAAAACTCCCAAAAGTCATAAATATTTTTTAAGTTTTAGAATATAAATGTGGAGAATAACATATAAAAATATCTCCTTTCATTTAATTAAAAAAAACTCCAACAGTCCCCCACATGAATGGAGAATTTTAGAAAACTCTTTAAAACCATGCAACCTTTGTGATTCAACTATGAAGAATTAATCGCATCTGGATAAGTAGGTTTCCCTTTGAACTTTCCATAGTGGATTTAAATCGGATATACTCACCAATCGGTAGATGCGATATCTTTGAATCGTCGGTTTTTTATGTATACCAAGACAATCTAAACCACACAATTAATTCTTAACCGTCTTTGGTTCTCACTTTTGTGTTCGTTTCAGCCATGAACACCTGTCTGGTTTCATGAAAGCGTAGAGAACTGGCCAACCATTATTCTCCTTGAAGCGGCCCACACTTCACTTTCACATAGGTGGTTTCCTAAGCGTGTCATCTCTAAAGATACACTATTTGATCATTTCAAATTTAGGAACCATTAAAAATTTCTTAGCTTTTAAGTCTTCTAACTTAAAGCCGTATAATTTACCCTTTTCCATAGAACATTGTCTCATCATGAGAATGAGTTGGATTATATTTGACAATGTTGAACCGTTAGTTACGACTTTGTATTCTCTTTGAACCTAGTTCTTGGGATCTCTAGTCTACTAGGTAGAGTTACCACCGTACTAGCTTGTCCTTGGCCATAAACTCATTCCCTTGGACGATTTTTCAAATAAATCTCTACAAAGACCTTTTGTAAGTGGATCAGCTACATTATCCTTTGACTTCACGTAGTCAACAGTGATAATACCACTTGAGATTAGTTGTCTAACGGTATTATGTCTACGTCTAATGTGACGAGACTTTCCGTTGTACATCACACTTCCTGCCCTTCCTATTGCAGCGAGATTATCGCAGTGTATGCATATAGGTGTCAATGGTTTGGGCCAATACGGAATATCTTCCAAGAAATTTCTAAGCCATTCAGCTTCTTCACCAGCTTTATCCAAAGCTATGAATTCACTTTCCATTGTAGAGCGAGCGATACATGTCTGTTTTGATGATTTCCAAGACACAGCTCCTCCTCCAATCGTGAAGACATATCCACTCGTGGATTTTGTTTCACTTGACCCAGTAATCCAATTTGCATCACAATATCCTTCAAGCACAACTGGATATTTGGAGTAATGTAATACGTAATTTTGAGTATGTTTTAAATACCCCAAAACACGTTTCATTGCCATCCAATGACTAGGATCTGGATTACTTGTATATCGACTGAGTTTACTTATTGCACAAGCAATATCTGGTCGAGTACAGTTTGCGATATACATCAAGCTTCCTAGAACTCTTGCATAGTACAATTGAAACTCACTGTTACCTTTGTTCTTTGCTAGAGCAAGGTTCGCTTCAATTGGAGTTCTTGCAACTTTGAAGTCCAAGTATTTAAACTTCTCAAGTACTTTCTCAATGTAATGAGATTGAGATAACGCAAGACCTTCAGGAGTTTGAATGATTTTAATTCCAAGAATTAAATCAGCAACTCCTAAATCTTTCATGTCAAATCTTGTGGATAGCATGCGCTTTGTATCGTTTATAGTTGAAATGTCATTACTCATTATCAACATATCATCCACATATAGACATACAATGACAATTCGATTAGGAGTGTTCTTAATGTAGATACATTTATCACTCTCATTAATCTTAAACCCGTTTGTCAACATTATATTGTCAAACTTAGCATGCCATTGCTTTGGTGCTTGTTTAAGTCCATACAAAGACTTAACAAGTCGACACACCTTACCTTCTTTTCCCGGAACTACAAACCCTTCAGGTTGTTCCATATAGATTTCTTCCTCTAAATCTCCATTTAGGAAGGCGGTTTTAACGTCCATTTGATGGATTTGCAATTCATAGACGGCAGCCAAAGCAATTAACACCCGAATGGATGTAATTCTCGAGACTGGCGAATATGTATCAAAATAGTCAAGACCTTCTCGTTGTCGAAAACCTTTCACAACTAGTCTCGCCTTGTACTTATCAATAGTACCATCATCTTTCAATTTTCTTTTAAAAATCCATTTGGAACCTAACGGTTTGTTCCCTGGAGGAAGATAAACCAATTCCCACGTATGATTGCTCAGTATGGATTCAATTTCACTATTGACAACCTCTTTCCAGTATTGAGCTTCTGGAGAAGTCACAGCTTCTTTATACGTTTGAGGCTCATTTTCCAACATAAATGTTAGAAAATCTGGACCAAATGAGGTAGCAATCCTTTGACGTGTACTACGTCTAGGTTCTATCTCATTTTGTGCATCCTCTGTATTCACTTCCCGATTTCGCTTGGTTCCTTTATTAATTGATTCAAATTCTCTTTTGTACGGGAAGATCGCTTCAAAAAATTCAGCATTATCTGACTCAATCACCGTATTCCTCTGAATATCGGGGATTTCAGATTTGTGAACCAAAAATCTGTATGCTTTACTTTTTGTAGCATAACCTATGAAAACGCAATCTATCGTTTTCGGTCCTATTTTAACCCTTTTTGGGAGAGGAACCTGGACCTTTGCTAGACACCCCCACACTTTGAAGTAATTCAAGTTAGACTTTTTTCCTTTCCATTTCTCATATGGAATGGATTGTGTCTTACTGTGGGGAACTCGGTTGAGTATTTGAGTAGCTGTTAAAATAGCTTCGCCCCACATGTTCTCCGGTAAACCGGAACTTATCAATAAGGCATTCATCATCTCCTTCAATGTTCGATTCTTCCTTTCCGCAATTCCATTGGATTGGGGAGTGTATGGGGCGGTAGTTTGGTGAATAATGCCAAATTCCAAACATACTTCTTCAAACGGAGATACATATTCACCGCCTCTATCACTTCTGATCATTTTGATCCTTTTATTGAGTTGTGTCTCAACTTCATTTTTGTATTGTTTAAATGCAATAATAGCTTCATCTTTACTATTAAGCAAATAAACATAGCAATATCGTGTGCTATCATCAATAAAAGTTATAAAAAACTTCTTGCCACCGCGAGATGGTGATGATTTCATGTCACAAATATCTGTATGAATTAAGTCTAGAGGTTCACTACTTCTCTTAACTGATTTGAAAGAATGTTTAGTAAACTTAGATTCAACACAAACTTCACACTTTGATTGCTTACAATCAAATTTGGGCAACAATTCCAAATTGATCATTTTTCTCAAAGACTTGTAATTCACGTGTCCCAATCTAGTGTGCCATAGATTATTCGACTCGAGTAAGTAAGCGGAAGAATCATTCTTATTGCCATTCATGGTCATTACATTGAGTTTGAAAAGTCCCTCAGTGAGGTAACCTTTTCCAACATACATGTCATTCTTACTTATTACAAGCTTATCGGAAACAAAAACACATTTGAATCCGTGTTTCACCATAAGTGATGTCGACACTAAGTTCTTCCGAATCTCCGGTACATGAAGAACATTAGTGAGAGTCATTATCTTTCCGGAGGTCATCTTGAGGGCAACCTTTCCAGTCCCTTCAACCTTCGCAGTTGTGGAATTTCCCATGAATACAGTTTCTCCATCTTTTGCGGGAACATAAGATGAGAACATCCACTTATTGGCACACACATGGCGGGTAGCACCGGAATCCATCCACCATTCCTTGGGATTTCCAACCAAGTTAACTTCAGAGATCATGGCACACAAATCAATATCTTCCACTCCGGAAGCAATCTCCATGATGTTAACATTGTTTTTCTTCTTGGTCTTTGGACCACGACAATCCACAGCTCGATGACCAAGCTTACCGCAGTTGTGGCAAGAACCCTTAAATTTTTTAATAAATTTATTCGGGATATTCTTTTGGTTAGCATAATTCTTTCTTTTCTTACCAACAGCATGTTCAATGACGTTTGCTCCTAAGACCGAGCTTGTCCCGCGAGCTTTCATTTCGGTCATCTTGTTGTCCTCTTCAATTCTCAGACGGACAATCAAGTCTTCAAGCGATATCTCTTTTCGCTTGTGTTTCAAGTAGTTCTTGAAGTCCCTCGTGTCCACGAGGGTGGTAACTTCTCGATGAAGGCAGCTACTTGAAAAGCTTCATTGATCATCATACCTTCAGCAAGAAGATTCTGAACAATGACTTGCAGTTCTTGAACTTGGGTTGAGACTGGTTTATTGTCAACCATCTTGAATTCAAGAAACTTGGCGGCTATGAACTTCTTCATACCGGCATCTTCAGTTTTGTACTTCTTCTCGAGAGCCTCCCATAACTCTCGTGAAGTAGCAACAGTACAAAAGACATTATATAATGAGTCATCTAAACCACTCAAAATATAGTTCTTACACAGGAAGTCTGAGTGCTTCCAAGCCTCAATCACCACGAAGCGTTCCTTTTCCGGTACAGACTCTGCCGGTTTAGGAGCATCTTCCTTGATGTATCTTTGCAATGACAATGTTGTCAAATAAAAGAACATCTTTGCCTGCCACCTCTTGAAATCAACACCGAAAAACTTTGCCGGTTTTTCCGCAGGTGCTGGTGCAGGGGGAGTCACTGTGGGTACAACCACAAGCATAGCAGCAACATTTTCAGCCATTTTCTGAAAATCAGAATACCACTTTTTAGTATTACAACTAAAAATATCATAATTTTAAAACCTTACGGTAATAATTTCTGAACTCGATTATTTAACCACGCGGTAATAATCTCAAAACCTCAATGAGGAAACCATAAAACTATTTAAGTGTTATTTAGATCGTTTCCAGGTAAGAGGGAGCCAACTCTATATATAGAGCGCATAATTATCCAACCTCTTTCCTTGGCAAAACTTTTTCACCGTCAACACTTAAATATTTTATCGGTTTTTTTTTTTCCGAAATTGAAAAACTTTACTTTGTCTCCCCGGGGACGAAAGTTCGTTTTTCCACCAATAACAAGACAATATATAATAACACAATACACAATAATTTCCTTAAGCTTGTTGGGTGTGTTATTTTATATGTCTCATATTCATGCATAGTTAACTTTCAATTTCATACCAAGACTGTCCAAGTTTAATAACTTTCAGAACATACGACCAAATCATCCATGTTATACACCATTAGAAAGATAATTTTGATATCTACGAAACGATATCAAGAACATGCAATTCCGATAACGGTATAGAAAGTTATGTTCAAACCAACATCATTATATCAATATGATTTTTGTTTTAAAACCGGAAAACCAAATCCGAACCCACGGCGAACCGTGTCTCCTTAAGGAAATTATTCCCCGCGCGGTACCTACGGTTAATGGAATATATCCTCCCAGGATAGGACGGATGTACCTCACCGGAACAGTGGTACTTCAAACTCCGGTGCCTTGTCGAACTCAAAGCTCGGTTTGAATCACAAAGGAAAAAAGATGATTTTCTTTCTTTTGTAGAAAGCTTTTGTGTTTTTCTTGATGTTCTTAAAAATGAAAACAAAGCCTCCTATTTATAGGATTGAACAATTGTAAAACTCCCAAAAGTCATAAATATTTTTTAAGTTTTAGAATATAAATGTGGAGAATAACATATAAAAATATCTCCTTTCATTTAATTAAAAAAAACTCCAACAGGATACGTGGCAAGATACAATTCACATCTAAAACCAATCTTATAACATACAAAAAAAATGACCAAATGACAAATATTGTCAAAGATAATGCATTCAAATGAGCCCATATCCTTTTTTCTATATTTGAATAATCAATCATTTTGTGAGGACGTATAATCTTAAACAGAAACCAAAAAGGCTGCCAAAAAAACGTACCCAAAAGAGGGAAAATCGAAAAATAGATTAGGATTTTAGCGAAAATATGGAAAATACAAAATTTCTTAATTTCGTATAAGAAACAAAAATATGCGCTGCTTAGTACTTGCGTTGTCTCTGTCTCTACGTATTTCTTTTTTTTTTCAAAAAAAAAATATTACCGTTAAATGTTTTGAATCTTTGATGTCAATGGATCGGTCCACATAAGTAGAGCCTTGACCACATCTCTTGTGCCGCGCAATATTACCAAATTGCCACCATCCAATTAAACCCGCTTCTAATTGGATGAACCGGACCCAATTTATATCCAAAAAGCACAGGGAATCCAAAATTCGTTTTTATCACATAGTTAAAGGAAATAAATGTTGTCATGGTTTTGTGGTAAGTTTTCAATCTGGTTTTCTGTTTCTTGATATGGTTCGGTAAACCGGTTTATAGCCCGGTACGAGGGCATTTTGGTCAAATCAGAATTTATTGGTGGAGCCTTTTTTTTTCTGACGCTCCCCGTCTTTCGAATTTTCTTGCTTCAGTCTGTTACTCGACCAGGAAAAAAGCTGTCCTCTCTCTCTCCAGTTCCTTTTTGTATGTGGAGAGAGAGAGAGAGAGAGGGGAGAGAGCGAAGCTCTTTCCGTGGTGGAGAAAAAGAAAGATTGCATTTTGAGCAACACCAGTGTAATAACGACAAACATTCCGACATTGTTAGGGTTTCTTATGCTTTTTCCTCTCAATGTCTAGCTCCGAAACTGGGAAGAAAGAAGATCGATTGTGCTAAAAAAGTCTGGACTTTAACCAGAAATGGGAAGTTCCTAGTTCAATTCCGATCGGTCAAGTGGTGAGTTCTTCGACCTGAAGAAGAAGAAGAGGAAAGATTCCGAGGATATCGGTGCGTTTTCTTTTTTCTTTTTACCTGCTCAGGCGTCGTTCGTTTGATGCGGTTATCTTTGAAATCTACATTTTTATCATGATACAATGTCTTCGGGGTTCGAATTTTGCCTGATTTTAGGATTTGGATTGTGAATGATTTTGCTGTTTGGATTTATCTGAAAGTGGGTTATGCCTCTGTTTGTGGGACTTCCAAGTTGAGATTTTTGTTTCTTTGTCATAGCCGTGGTAGTCAGATCTATGAAGAATCTGGTTCAATGTTTGGATCCTGGTTTTCTATTTCTGGAGATTTATTGTTCAGGAGCTGCTTTTGTTTTCTTGTTTTGGGATCCATTCTTTCTAACTGGAGTTAAAATATGATATTAGTGGCTCGGGGGATGATTTCTTTACCTTTTAAGACAGTGTTTTTAGTAGGAGAATGTTTTCCTGTGCGGTTTTCTATTGCTAGTTCGCTCGACCTCTGTTCTTTTAGGGTAAATATTGTTTGCTAGTTTGATTAGTTGTTGTTTCAATGAACATGTCCAGTTTTGTGGATAATTTGCTCTCAAGGTTGGTTTGTATATCAAAATGGCCTTGGCTTCTTAGTGGATTTTAGTTTTGTCTTTTATTTTGTTGTTTTTCGTTCTAATAGAATTATGGGTTATTTGACACTCTTTGCATTTTTTGTTTCCTCAGTTCTCTGCCCATGGATTTGAAACCATCATGTTCAGTTGAATGCTGGTAAACTCAGGCATATAGTTTTGGTTGTATTTACTGTTTGGAGGAATGATGTCAGATACAGTGCTCGATTACGCTGTGTTCCAGTTGTCGCCAAAGCATTCACGGTTGGTATTTATTCTCTACAGAATGCTCTCTTCTAATCATCCTTCTTCTAGTTTTTTTAATTTCTCAACAACGCTGTCAATGTTCATTTCTTGCAGTTGTGAACTGTTTATATCAAGTAATGGGCAAACAGAGAAGCTTGCTTCGGGATTGATTCAACCATTTGTAACTAATTTGAGAATTCTTGAAGCACAAGCTGCTCAGGGAGTTCAGTCCTCTATTAGGTTGGAGGTTGAAAAAAGTCAAGATGCTGAGACTTGGTTCACAAAAGGGACACTCAAGAGGTGATACAACAGCGTAAACGATAACTTCTGCTTTTATTTTACTCAAAGATTGTTGCTGCTACATTTTTTGTTACAATACTTCCATTTTTTTCTCTTGCAGGTTTGTCCGATTTGTTAGTAATCCAGAAGCTTTGGAAAGGGTCAATACATTTGATTTGGAAATGTCACAGTTAGAAGAAGCTCGGAAATTATATACTCAGGTAGTAGACACAATAGAATTGAGGACTGGTTCTGATCCTATCTTATGTTATCTTCGCTGAATTTGGATTTGTTTTTTTAGGAAAGCAAAGACCGGCAACGTGGTGGATCAGGTGCGTTAATATTCGTTTATTTTGTCTGTTTGAGTTTGGAAATTCATTTATAGCTCTATGTTTTCGTAACCATGCATGATATTTCTTCTTGTCCTTTTCAGTCTGTTTGCAATTTTGAAAAGGGTTATTTTTCTACTTCATACTGTACTGAACCGCACTAGTAGATGCCTAAAGAAAAAATAAATTATGCCCAAGTTTTCTCTGCAGTGTTTATTTGACTGTCTTAAGTTAATGGGATCCGGAATACAACATAGTTAATCTTTCGATACATCTATACAGTTCACAACTATACTTTCTCTAGTCTTAACTTGTGGTTAGAAATATTTCTAGATCAACTTTTTATTATGGTTATTTGGTTGCTTAATATCACATTAATTGCTTAAGATGAATTGTAAGTTTGAAACCTAGACCCATGGGTTGAAGAAGCTACAATAAGGAATAGTTAGACTGGATCTCTTTAAGCCACGAAGAGGAATTGCATCTTTTAACGATAAGAGGTGGAATAACTGGGTATTCAACTTGTTTAATTTTATCTAATTTTGAACATAAGAAGTAGTTGTATTATTTACAAATAAAATGCTAACACCTTCACTATCTTGACCCTTTTTCTTTCCGATCAAGATGATGGGGGAGGCATGGCAGATGCGACAAAGTAAGTCCCTCTGCTTTTCATCTTCGCAAGTATTAAACTTTTTGTCATCACTGTTTGGATTCATATTTTTATTCTGTGTTTGTATCATCTTTAAATGCATCTTGCTGCCTTAACTAGTTAAATTATGTTGTGTTGTCCATTTCCGTAAAATTTTCCTTGCAACTTTGGAGATGTTTAAAGTATCATTACTGAATTTTGAAGGATAATACTCCTACAATTTTGTTTGTATTAGTAAAAAAAAAAGACAAGGCTGGCTGCAAAGTCCCCGTGCTTCTTAATTAACAGATAAAAAACATTTCACGTATTATCTATAAGGTATTCCTTGTTTATGATGTCAATGGTGACCTCAAAAGCAAGCCCAAGAAAGACTCATTGGCATCCACAAAAGCAATTTTAGCTTTTTTTTGTCAGAGAAATGGGTTGAGTAAGTAAGCTAAAAAATGACTTGGCAATGGCTTTCTATCCAGGAAGGAGCTCTTAAGGGCCATGGACATAAGACTTGATGGAGTTAAGAAGGATTTAACCATGGCAATCTCTAATGCATTAGAAAGTGGTTTCAAGCCTGATACTGTTTCTGCACTCCAACAATTTGCTGACAGATTTGGTGCACATCGCTTGGAGTAAGCAGCTCTAGCATCCATTCTTCCCTTTTCTCACAAAGACCTTCTTATCTTGACATTTTTATCTTATAGTAACTCTGTTTTCATATATGGTCATATGCTTTACCAGTGAAGCTTGCAACAAATTTATCACACTTTGGCAGAGAAGATCGCACCTGATCAACTCACAGAGCTTGAATCTCAATGCTCAAGCAGGTCAATCATCATGGGCACCGGATGTGTCAGTCAACACACCTAGTGATGACCACACTGATGTCCATAAGCTGCCTGAAGAAAATAGACACCAACATAGGCTCGAACAAGCTGATTTGAAACAGAAGCAAAACCCAACTGAGCAATCAGAACATCGAATACAACAGTACTCAAAGAGTACCAAAAGGATTGAAGAGGAGAAAAAAGATGAGAGTTCCGTAGAATCTTCTACATTTCAGGCCAGCCACACTAGGCGACTCAGTGTCCAAGATAGGATCAATCTCTTTGAGAGCAAACAGAAAGAGATCTCAAATTCTGGAGGAAAACCAGTACCTCATGGTAAAGCCACAGAGAAGAGGAGACTCTCCTCAGATGTTTCATCAGCTCCTACATCTTTTGAGAAGTCTGTATTGAGAAGATGGAGCATTGTTAGTGACTTGAGTATAGATCTGGCCTCAGAAACAAAGTTGGACAGTAGCACCGAAACTCCTTCGTGTACACCATTATCTGTTCCTCATGCCAAAGGTGATTCAGCACCAAAGGAGTCTAAGGGAAAAGATGAAAAAGGGGAAAAGGGTTCAGACAATGATATTTTTTCTATCAAAATAGAGCCAAAGAGTGACTCAGAGAATGTTGTTGACCAAGGGGCATCTCATCTCAGAATGAAGAGTTCCACAGCAGAGCTAGAGAACAAAATGGGTTCTGGAATTCAAGTGACTTCTGGTGTGCCCACTGGATCAGCCATTGGTTCAATTCTCTCTTCTGACGAACATATCGAAAGTAGTGTGGATATCAAAATCAAAGATTTCCAATGTCAAATCACTGATGAGGACTTGGCTTCTCAGGCCCAGAAGAGATTACTCATCGGTAGAGGAGGAAAAAAAGTGGTCGTTCCATCAGAGGGGCAACCAGCCTCAACAGATTCCAAGAGAATGGTATCTCAGAAACCAGCCTCTGCAGGTCAGTTTGATAGAACATTGGCATAGGGAGTTCTCCTTGGACCCTTCAAATCATTAAAGTGATGCTGCGAAATACTCAAAGATATAGGTTTTGATTTTGCATCTGAAACTGAAAGAGTTACATTTGTAGTTCTAATTTCCTAGAAGAAGTGGGTAGAATACTGTTAGATCTTTGTAGTGCGCTCGAGCGATCCACTTTATGTGCATGCTTTGGACTAATATTTCTTCCCGTCTCATTGATTACCCTGCAGGTTCTAAACAGAGAAAAAAATCATCTGGTGGAAAGGATGATGCTAGTGATGGGAATGGCAGGCTTGCTTCAGTAGGCCAAAAAATCATGGATAGGGCTCCTATGACTTCTGTGGATCAAGTTCAGGGGACAAGAAAATCAAAGGGATACCAGGGGGTGAACAATGTGTTGAAAATGAAGGCAAATGAGCTTGAAAAGATTTTTGCGGAGCACAAACTTCGGGTTTCAGGGGATCAATCAAGTTCTTCTGGACATGGCAAGCAGGGTGAAACCAGAGTTTTGCAGCCAGAACAGTCTCATTCCTGCAGAGTTGCAGTATCCAAAGCTCCTGTTCAACAGTTCCTTGACAATGGGGATGTACTGCAGCAGGACTTTCCCGAGCTTAGTTTTTCAGATGATTCGAGAGGAAAGCTCTATGAGAAATATATGAAGAAAAGAGATGCAAAACAGAGAGAAGAATGGAGTTCAAAAAGGGCTGAGAAGGAAACTAAGATGAAGTCCATGCAAGTGGCTCTCGAGCGAAGTAGGAGCGAGATGAAAGCTAAGTTTTCTGCATCTTCTGAGAGGCAGAATTCGCTTTCAAGTACCCTCCAGCGTGCAGAGAGATTCAGATCTTTTAACTCTAGGACAAGTATGAAAAAGTATCAGGTATTTTCATAAAAATTTAGTGAAATATCTTTTCAATTTCCTAATCATGGGACTTACCTTATTTACCTTCCATGACTAATTCGATGATTGTCTTATCACAGCATCCAATAAGCTCATTTCAGAGTGAAGAAGACGAAGATTTCTCAGAATATTCAGATCAGAAACCTCGGGCTAAAGATAACACATCTAATGGACAAGCCATTGGCAACAGATTCTCTCGAAACTCCCAAGCTAGAAACCTCCAGCCTAACCACAATGTGTCTTCTCTTAACCCCCGAACTACCATGTCAATTCCAAAACCATCAGCTAAAGTATTAAATACCAATTCCGGGAGGCGAAGATCTGACATGCCGCTTGCACAATCTGTTCCCAACTTCTCTGATCTCAAAAAGGAAAACACTAAGCCGTCTTCTTTCGTTGCCAAAACTGCCACCCGCCGTGTACAAGGGAGGAATTCTGCACGCAGAAAGGATCAGAATGACGATATACCTGATGTTAAGCAAGAAAAACAACGAAGAACACAATCTTTAAGGAAGAGCTCCTCTGGGAATGTGGAGTTCAGTGGGTTGTCCACTCTGTACTCTGATGATATGCTCCCTGAAAGAGTTGACAAAGAGAAGAATCAGAGAAAGATCATTGATGTTGATAATGTTTCTGGATTTGTGCCAGCGGTAAAGGCCTCAGATACATCTGAGGATTTGAAAAATGAAGGAAATGATGAACTTGACTCTGCGGTTGAAGTTCTGGAGAATACAGCCAAAGAAGAGGAACCAGAAGATCTAAAAGTGGTGGAAGTTGAAGATGGTGATGGGGACGATGAGGGAAAGCTGAGAATGAGAAAGGAATATGACAAACTCGAGAATTCCAGGACTCAAGATAGTTGTTCCTTGAGATCCAATTCTCGGATTGAAAACGGTTCCATCATTGACATGCCTACTGTACATTCAACAATTCATACTGTTGCTTCATTGATGGACTCACCAGAAGAAAGCCCTCTCTCATGGAATTCGAACATGCAACACCCATTTGGCTATTCAAATGAACATTCAGACATTGATTCTCCCCTCGGAAGTCCAGCATCTTGGAGTTCTCGAACAAGAAAGAAATGGGGAGCTGCTCAGAATCCTGTTATGGTTGCTAATTCATCTCAGCTTCAGTCCCGGAAGGATTTAACTAAAGGGTTCAAACATCTGTTAAAGTTTGGAAGAAAAAGCTGTGCTGCAGAAAGTTTTATGGACTGGGTATCGGTAACCACGTCTGAAGGAGATGATGATGCTGAAGAGAGACGAGATCTTGCCAACCGATCATTGAGTGATCTGAGGAAGATAAGAATGGGTTCTTTACAAAGCCATCTCTCTGAAGATGGATTCAACGACCAAGGTACTAAGCCAATTCAATGACCAAGGTAATAAATTTTTTTGTTATGCTGAAACACTTTTCTTTAGATTACCCCAGAAGATGGATCCTAACAAAAGGTGTGCAGCCTTTGAATCTTGATTTTCATCATCAGACTATTCCGACAACCAGCCTCTTTATTCCTATTTCTGTATGAATCAGAGGAGTATCATAAAAGCATATATTTCATTTGTACCGTTATTTACGTGGATATAATCCTGAATTCTGATATGCTTGTTGTTCTTGCCCTCTGTTCAAGCCTCAAACAGCTCCATTAATGCTCCTCCCCCGAGCTTTAAAGTGAAGGAGGATCAGATCTCTGGAAGCTCGAACAAAGGTGAGAAAATCTGAAACTTTTTTCTTGCGTTTACTGACTCGATTCTCTCTAAGGCTTATTTCTGAATTTGCTCCTTCGGGTTTTCGCTTTTTACAGCACCAAGATCATCGTTCTTCTCACTCTCCTCATTCCGTAGCAAAGGAAACGACTCAAAGCCAAGATAAAATAACCAAAACCCTTGTCGGATTTGGTTTGCATTGCCTGACATGGAGAGTATGGTCGTGGTGTAAAGAATGCTATATTACAGATAAAGATAGAGAGATTCTTGAGGTACGTTCCGTAATAAAAACCTCAAAAGTACAGTCGTCCGTACGAAATCTTCAAGTATTTGTTAGTAGTTTAGGTACGTTTTCTTCAGGCGGAACCACAAATGCACAGCTGGTGATTTCTTCTAACGGGTTTCGTAGATGATTTTTGTATTGAACAACATATACTTTGGTCCTATGTATAATGACCATTTTCTTGGCTTTTGTGGTAAACTCTATTTTGATTTACTTTTAGATTGGCTCGGTATATTCATGAGTTATAAAATAGAAAATTCTATTGAAAACTCTATATTTTTTTCGTTATAAAGTTATATATAATAATAAATATCTGTATTTTTAATAAATTGACAAACAAAACTCTAAAAGTAAAAATTGACTACTCAATATTGTCGAGAAAAATTTCATCATATTTACACGACATATTATCCACTATCTAATATTTAATAATTTTAAAAAATAAAAATAATAAAAAATTATTAAATAATTATAATAATATTAATAAAAAAATAGAATAAAATAATTAAATAATTAAAATTACTTATATACATACATATACATATATATATACGTATATATACATATATATATATATAACACATACATATATATATACGTATATATACATATACATATGTATACATACACACAAATAGATACACTACAGAGCTTACATATCTATATATACGTATGTATATATATATATATATTTATATATATATCTTTATATGCAATTTTTATTATTTTATTAATATTATTATAATTTTTTAATAATTTTTTTATTATATTATTATTTAATATTATTAAATATTACATGTTTGATGATATGTACGATGAATATGATGAAATTATTGTCATGCCAACGAATAATTAAATTTTGCATCTAGAGTTTTGTTTACTATTTTTTAAAAGATATATATATATATATATATATATATATATATATATATTATCAGATATAACAAGTATAAAGTTTAATAGGATTAAAATAATAAAGAGTTAAAATTGTTATCATAGAAAAATATATGGTTATTATGGAAATATAGAAAAAAACATACAACAAAAATAGAGAAAATCTTTTAGTTTTCTAATTATGAATGATATATATATATAAAGATAATTTGTTCTCCAAAATCTTTCAAATGTAGATTTTTTTTAAAAAAAAGTAGCATTTCTTCTTTAAAAAAGTTTAAAGCAAAACCTACTTCCATAAATCACTTATTTCAATTACAAATAAAAATAAACACAGATTGGGATATTCAAAATAAATTTTAAGATAATATCTATTTATTTTTGGATTTTGAATAAAAAAGAAGCATGACATTACATGTATATATGTGTCCGTTAAAACATGTAGAACATATTTGCCCACACACACACACACATATATATATATATTAATGAACTTATTTAAGCAAATCTAAAATATTATTACGTAATAGTTTTATATACATTAATAAATTATGAACGTATAGTTATTATAAATTAATAATAATTCATTTTTTAACTGATGTTTTTAAGTCTTCTTATTATTTGTTGAAATTATGTTGCTGGGAAATATTTCATCTCGATCTAGATTCCGTCGAATTATTTTAAATGCAAATACAGACCAAGCAGTCATCGCGCATAATCGATTTCCAAAAACTTATTCCACGCGCCTCAATTCCCCGATTTTCCAAAAACTGGCAGCTTTCGCTGGACTATAGACTATAGTGCGGCGATTTTGGGGCGGTGGAGTTCACGCGCCTATGCTGCGTGTGTGACTTGTTTTACCTATTACTAAAATATAAAGTTATATATTATGATAGGGCCGTTAAGATATGGGTCTTTATATCAGGCCCATAAAGCCCAATTTCACATATATTGGTTTATTATACGTAATCGCATATATGTATATGCGTCCGTTAACACATGTAGAACATATTTTTGCCTCTCTGCGTGTATTATTAATGAACTTATTTAAGCAAATTTAAAATTCTGTTTCATATACATTAATAAATCATGAACGTATAATTATTATAAATTTCTAATAAATTTTTTTTATCTAATATTTAAGTCTCCTTATTATTCGTTGATATTTTCTTGCTAGAAAATATTTCATCTTGATTTAGGTTGCGTTGGATCTTATTAAAATTGAATGCAATGTGTAATTAATTATGAATATATAATTATATTTTTTGAATGCCAAGTGCCCTTTTTTCCCTCCTTATCCCGTATGGAACAAGCAACAGTGTCGTCACGCGCCTCAATTCCGGTTTTTCCAAAATATGGCCGTTTTCGCTGGACTGTAGTCCGGCAATTTCGGGGCAGTGGTAGTCACGCGCCTATGTTGCGCGTATGACTTGTTTTACTTATTATTAAAGTGTATAGGCCCGTTGAGGTCTTTGAATAAGGCCCATCAAGCCCAATTCCATCTGCTGCTAAGGGGACTTAAACGGCCCAACTCGATATGTTGATCTATTATACGTGATCGTATATACGGATATGATGTACTTTTGTCTTGTGCGATATCCAAATCCGAATTTGAACATGTGGATTTCATATTTCGTTATCAGATTTGAACCCGCGACCATTCTCGGACCCGATCTCATCGAATCAAATATCCAACTACACGAAACTCTGAAATTTTTATATACACAAACTTGTACAAGTTTGTTTTTTTTTTCTTTTCAGAAGAAAAAATGAAACACTTCATCATTTTTTTTTGCGGGGGTAGTAGTTATTGTTGTAATGAGTTAAAATTACAAGGATATTGGCAAGAGGGGAGAGGACTAGGAAAGAGAAGAAGAGGTGGGGGTTTGCTGGGAGGAGGGTGGAAGGTCAATGGAAGTAGGAGGAGAGGGTGGAGAGGCACTCATAATTGGATGCATATTCCCTGAGGAGCTCACTCCCTGTGGACTCATTGGCGTTCTTTGCTGGTTCATTGCCTGTGGGCTCATCTGCTGTTGCTGTTGCGGTAGCTGAGGTGATGGTGAACCTCCTACTACTTGTGGTGGCGAAATCACAGTAGCCTGGTGGGGTGAGCCCATCTCTTGCTGCTGCTGCTGCTGTGGTTGTGAAAGTTGCTGTTGCTGCTGCTGTTGCATTTGTTGCTGCTGTGGCTGTGGCTGTGGCTGTGGCTGTGGCTGTGGCAACTGCTGCTGCTGCTGCTGCGGAGGCATCTGACTCTGTGGCTGGGATAGCTGCTGTGGCTGCTGAGACATTGATTGTTGCAACTGCTGCTGCTGCAATTGTTGCTGCTGCAGTTGCTGTTGATTCATGTAGATGTTCATTCCAGGCATCAACTTGGGAGGGCCCATGGCACCCATTGCAGCTCGTTGCATGGGGCTCATATTAGCTCGGTTCAATGGGTTTTGACCCAACATCGACAGACTTGCAGGCCCTGGGTGCATCTGTCTCGCCCCCGGTATGCCACTTATGCTTGCTTGGCTTGACCCCATTACCCCTCCTCTGTTCATCCCCATCCTTAGTTTTGCCATCATAGCTGCTTGTGCCGGTGTTAACGCTCCCGCACGAAGTTGCTGGCTTATCGCATTCAAGTTTGATGCCGGGTTCATATTCAAAGGGTTCTCACCCAAACCACCAATCCCGGAAACAGACGGCATCGGCGATGAAATTCCACTCCCTCCAATGCCCCTTCCTCCTGCCATACCCATTGGATTGCCCATACCTCCGAGTGCAGCGGCTATACTGTTGCCCATGCTTCCCATACCCATACCTACACCTGATCCTAGCCCCATCAGTATCTTCCTCTGCATCTGGGCCTGCTGTTGCGACTGCTGTTGTTGCTGCAGCATCTGCAGTTGCAGAGGAGATGGTTTGTTTCCCATCTGAACACCCGGTTGCATACCCGAGCTCTGGCCCATCGAGTTAACCGGTGACAATGGGTTAGTTGGCATCATCATGGACTGTCTCTGCATTTGTGAATGCTGCTGCTGCTGAAACATTGGCTGTTGGTTTTGCTGCTGCGGTTGTGATGACGGAAGTGATGCCTGTTGTGGGTCAAGCTGTTGCGCCCGCATAGGCATGGAGGAGACACTGGACAGTAGTTGTCCTTGAGACATTTGCAAGGCTTGAGAATTTGCTGGAGGAAGCATCCTCGCATTTCCAAGAACGTTGTTCTGTGTGGGGTTAACAGGCTTATTACCGGAAGTCCCTGGTTTCGAAACCTCACCAGTTGCCTGTCCTGAAACTGCTTCTCCATACTGTTGCATCTCATTCGCTGAGTTACCTCTTGGAAATGCGCCCGAAGAATTTTGTTGGCTGCTGCTCGGGACAGCATCCACACGGGTTGGTTTCAATTGAATATGTTCTTCCATCAGGTATCCTTCGCGCATCATCTGTATAAGCATGTCCAATACAGTATGTAATTAGCATTGTGCCCATACGACCACGAATTGATATCTTCATTTTTGACCTTAATAGAAAAAACTACTAAGACATACCAGTGAACGAAATTCAGCAGCAAGCAGATCGGCAAGTTGCTGTTACAAAAGTGAAGATTATAAGGAAGTCAGCATAATAATAAATTAGCATAACCAGTAGGAGAGACATCTATATAGAATAAATGAATTTGTTTTTTTCCCTTTCTGTAATAAATTAGCATAACCGCAGTGAATTAAAATGTTAATTAAACCAAACGGGGCCACACAATTCCAGACCGGAGAGCCTAGATTTCTGACAAGTGGCACCAAATTAACATTACAGTCTAGTGACCCCAAGATAAAAGAAAACGTTGAAAACTACACCACCTACGAGACTTCAGAACCAGGAAAGACGGGCAAAATGTAAAGGCAGTACCACGTAGTTGAAAAGATATATTATGGAGATGAGAGTTCAAAGTGGGTGGCAATAAATCAAATGATGATCAGAATAAAGGCAATAGGTGCAGTTCAGAAACTGGAAAATTTTCCATAAACTTACCGTATTGGGCAATGTTGAAAGATAATCTTCAGCTGCAAAAATATCACCACCATCATCTATGTCTCCAAGATGCCACGCTACATTTCCATCTGGCTTCTCTGACATTACCAGTCTTGTTCTTATTCTGGGGACTAAAGATGATGCGGTTCCTGAAAGATATAAGTCTGAGTTAAAGGAGAAGGAAGACACATCAATGTCCAGGAATCTGTTTAGAACAAAAAGCAGACCTTGCATTATACGTTCCATCCGAGCAAAATTCAGGACTCTTGTCTTGCAATTATTCATATTGCCACCTATAATTGATCTTGATAATGGTTTGTCATCATCTTTGTAATCCTCATTATTGGACAGAGTTGAAAAACAACCAATAAGAGGCTGCTGAGAGTATAAGTGAGGCCTTCGGGAGAGCTCGTCCACCTTATGTTTTTTGCAGTTAAGTTGGTACCTGAAAATAGAAAGAAAAAATCTGGATGAAAATGAACATCACAGAACTCAAAGCAAATCCCTTGGAAAAAAATTGAAACTTATATATATACCAAAAGAGCTAGAGCTTGTTATAAGGCAATGACATATGGAAAAGGAAGTGCTGATATCAACCACAATCTACTTCACAGTGAACAACTATCACGTGACAAACATCGATCACAAAATCATACTATCATTCACAAAATCATTGTTCCAACTTTAACAGGTTTCAAAACTTTCATACCTCACAGCAACTCGTTCAATCTTCGAGAATCTGTCAAGCACTGCAGCCACTGCTTGATCAGCCAAAGGTTGTGTTCCCATCGAAGGGCTATTTGCATTAACTGGAACATTCATAGTATTGACACTGACAGGAGAACCAACATTGCTCATAACTTGCGTCTTAGGGAGAGAACTTGTCCTCCGTTTTGCAACCATTTGAGCCTGGTGTTGCCGTTGTTGCATTGAGTCATTATTGGCACTAGATGTGAATGATTGGGTGCCCCCCATGGCAGGAATGGAAGTGACTGTTGCCTTATCCTTTTGAGCAGTTGCAACTGCTCCGAAATGGGTTCCCAAGGAGCCACTAGAAAACTCGCCTGACTTTGATGAAAGTGGAGATTGAGGCGGAGCACCAGCTGAAAAACGAGGACTTTGAGCTGATTTTCTTCTATTGAAATGTTCTTCTTTTCTCAGGTCTTTTTCAATCTGCTGACTAGTGTTATTCCAGGTTGCTTGAGGGAAACTAGATCTCATAAATGCATTATGTTGCAACCTTGACTGAACCCGGGGATCCAAATCACCAGTGTCAGTTCCTGCCATTGGCATATCATTTTTTATGGCACCATCAAATTTACTAGTCTCAAATGGCTCCTCTTTAGCAGTGAACCGCATTGCACCTTGTTGTGCTGCTGAAAACTGCATGGAGCCACCTTCCTGATTGATAAACCCTTCGAGTTGCTGTGGCGAAAACCTCTGAATACTAGCATTTGCATACTGAATACCTCGTCCCATCATAGCTTGCTGTTGCAGAATTGCATTTTTCCAATTCAAATCTGTTCCATGAATGCTATCCATGCGTTGGCCTAACTGTTGTTGTGGAATCCCATCAGTTCCCATGGGTAAAACCCTAGCTCGCTTATTGAAACCAGACACTGGGGACATTGGCCCTTCTTGATTTTCCCTCTTTCCAAGAAGAGAAGTACCAGGGTTCATATTGTCAGAGGCATAGGGGATCATCATATCTTGACCTACTGGTGAAGCACCAGAAATCCCAATGGAATTCGATCCCTGATCCAGCATGTTTCTTATATTTCCAGTTCCCAAATATCTTTGTTGCTGGGGTGCCAAAGGTATTGAGGGATTTGAGGCATCTTGTAAAGATTGAGATCTCAGTCCCGCCAACATATTTGTACCAAGATTTTGAGCCACCAGATTGTTGTGGCCTGGTTGAGGGATCGTATGCCCTGACACAGTTCCTTGCTCTGAACTTTCAGGTATCCTATCTATGCAAACCTTCTTCCCATGGATTTTGTTCTGGGACATGACTGCCACTTCTGGCATCTGCCTGAGTCGCTTTCTCCGCAAACTGGAAAGAGACATATTGAGCTGCAGACAAAATTCCACACAACCTTATCATAAAGCAACCACAGATAAAATCACAAGGAAGCAACCAAAGAGAATTACCTTAACAGTTACAGGGTTCTTACACAACCTATCAAGTCTTGGTGTAGGATCCAGGCAGAGTTCAGGTTGTAGGGCTTTCAATATTCTGGACTCAACTTCCTACAGGCATCGTAAGTATCAGTACAAAAGAAAATAGTTTCAGAGCTCAGAGACTACATCCAAGAGTTTGAGAGCAACTGATATTACCATGAGATCACCATATGTCCATGAATTGTCTGATATTAGTGGCATATCTTTCACCACGTTCTCGAGTGACATCTTAAGGCGTAATTTTTTAATCACAGGAGAGACTTGTTCAGGAGTATGTTTCCGATAGTCATGCACCTGCACGACATCGACCAATGTGTAAAGACACCGTGAAGTTATGTAAGACTGCTTGAGCAGTTGATTAGAAGCATACAACCACCAAACTACTTTTAACTTTCCAACGGTTCTAATCACTCTTGCATGCAGATAATTTCAGATTTTTCACAAGGTCACTATAGATATGACGAGTCACTATAAACAATCAAATAGTATGTAGTATTGTTAAAGAAATAAATAAGGTATACATGACTTGGAATCAAGATTCCATGCATATGTTCCAAGTTTGAAGCAAGGCTCCTTTTAATCTTGTGTAGTCCAGAGTATATCTTGTTAAAGTAAGTTTTACCTATCATTGTGAATATTTTCATTCATGCTAGCTGCTTGCAGGTACTCATGGAAGGTACTAGAGGAACTAGAATGAGAAACCAAAATAATTAAAAGTAATAAGCAATACTCATAGTCTCATAGCTACGGGAACGTTTTTCTATCCGCTTCCTGAAAAGGTCCATCCAGTACTGCTGAAAGGTACTATGACTAAAATGGCAACAACAGAGAAGGTTTTATTCAAATAAAATGAGAAACCAAAATAATTAAAAGTAATAAGCAATACTCATAGTCTCATAGCTACGGGAACGTTTTTCTATCCGCTTCCTGAAAAGGTCCATCCAGTACCGCTGAAAGGTACTATGACTAAAATGGCAACAACAGAGAAGGTTTTATTCAAATAAAATTAAAGTATATAACCCACCTCACATATGACTGCTCCATCCACAAATTTGCATGGTATATCTTCCAAAATATCTCCAGGAAGTCTACCAGCCTCGATAGCCTTTGAAGCATTCAAAAGAAATACAAATCTTTTTTCTCAATGGAATAACAGCTAGAAAGAAATTCATGGAATGAAACACGGACAAAGCATTAGATTTGATTAGTGCAAAACTGAACCTTTTCCAACATAAGAATCTTTTTATTATGACAACTCAAAGGAAAGTCATGATAATAAACAGACGCTTAAAGTACTTCCTCAAAAACAAGTTTGGATCCAAAATACAACAAAGTGTACATCTAATGTAAAAAACAAGGTGTGTTCCTCCTTTAATGAATATACGAGCAAAGAACTTATTGTCTAATTTTTCATTGATTCACTCACCAAACACCTATTTACATGATTTGAATGAGATGGCCAAATAGAACTCTTATTATTTTTAATTTTTCACGAGAAAAACAAAAAACAGAAAGGAAACAAAGGAAGATATTTACCGAAAATAGATTCTCTGATGACCTATCATACGGATGTAAAACCTTTGGAGCATCACGGAAGGGTGCCTGTTGTACAGTCTTGTTCTAAAAATTAAGAATAAAAGGATTGAAAAAGTTAAAACTTGAAAATCAGATACGGAAATCTAGTCGGCGATAAACTCCACTTGATTTAGCACATAAGGTTCTACTACATACCTCAGTAGGTTTTCCTATTGAGTACCCATTTGGGTAGATGCTTAGCACGAACGACACTTCATGGTCTGATAAAAAGAAAAAGGAGGGCAATCGATTTAATATTAAGCCCAGAATTGTGAAAATAAATATTAGCAGTCAAAGTCATTCAAATAATAACCTGGAGACACATCAGTTGTGGATGGCTGAGAGAACCCATAAACATCACGAGCACATCTTTCAACAGCGGTCTGAATCAAAGCAGAATAATATGGTAATTGATAAAGAGGAGTAAGAAGAAACAAAAACAAAACATTCAGCAGATTCTTCTTTCAACCCTCATCGGGTTTCAAGTCTATTGGGATAAACATATAACTGAATTCCTAGCAATTTCTACATCCGGAACTACAAGCAGGAAAAGAAAGCAACACAAATCAAGCTTCAGACTTGCAATACCCTTTTAGGTTTTAACAAAGCCCAGATGATTTAGCATCTAGAAAGTTGGAAACCTTCAGTCACTCTTCCACTATTTTATCAGGAAACCTTCTACCAAGGAAAAAGCAACCAAACAAGCTCCGAAAGATCATAAAGCTAGAGAAAGTCGCCCAGTATATCATGTTAATCTCTTTTGTAGTCCTCGGATATTAACTTCCAACAATTCAATGAAACAATAACTCGATACAAATCTAGGAGAATTTCAAGTTCCAGAAATCCCTTCAACTATAAACTCGCGCATAAGCTCAGAACGCATCAAATTTCACAAAATCCACGATGAATACCTCGAATTTCGAGGCGTGAAAGCTTTCCTTTAACTGCTCCGGAGAGTCATCAGCAGGAGCCGTCGATTCAAGAGAAGGCTTCGGTCGAAACCTTCTGCCAACCTTCGAAATCTTAAACGAGAGCCCCATGATTTTTTTTTTCTCTGGAGGTAAGTTCTGGGTCCTGGGACACCGACAGAAAAAGGGAAAACAACAATTGAAGGAAACCCAAGTGGAATTTCACAAGAAATAGCCGAGTTTTTGTTATCACTTCCGTTGAAACCTTACTTGCCCTTCCTGGAGAAGCTAATCAAACACCTCCAAATACGCGTCGATCGGAGATTAAGAGAGAACTCGGAGGGGGATCTCAGAACAAAGCCAGGGGGAAGTTTTTGCAGAAAACCCTAGAAATTCGATGAGACGGGTACCAGAAATTGAACAACAGAGCGAGAGCAAAGAGATCGTAGAGGAAGGGGAGATTTTGTTAGGGTTCTGTAAGGTGAAAAAAATCAGTCGAAGGAATCTAAGGGAAGAAGAAGATCTTCCGCTGCCATTTCATGAACACACTTGAAAGTTTATTCATAGTGACGGAGATCGTAGCCATGTGTATTCAATCTTCGTTTTATGTTCGGGGTTTTTCCGGTTATTGACTCGGTTTAATTGGTTCCCGGAGTTTGGTTTAACCCGAATTGAATCGAGTTCTCCAATCAAAACATTTATTATATATAAACCCCTTGAAATCTATAAATTACGGGGGAAAAAACTCATGTTAGCAGGAACCAAGAGTCGCATTTATGCATCAATTGTCATGACTGAGGCTTAGTTATAAAAATATGGGAAAATGGCAAAAACCCATGCACATTATACGAATATGTAAAATTAGTACATAAAATTTTAATTTGACAAAATCTCACATTCGATTTCAAATTTTCTCGATTTCCAACACAGATTATTTTGAAAATTTTCAATTACCACCCTAAAAGGTTATTGATGTGTCACCACTCGAATTGTTGACATGTCAGATTACATTGTTGACATGTCAGATTACATGATATATGAAATTTTGTCAAATTAAAAATTCATATACTAATTTTATACATTTCGCGGATTTTTATCATTTTTCCTAAAAATCTTAAATCATGATAAATGGAAGAATGACATGAAAGGAGAGATGACTCAACGACACATCAACGGCTAACGAGTTCGAAAGCCTTATGAAACGCTTCTTCTTCTTCTGTAGACACACACGCACGCATCATCCATTCATGACCAATTGAGAAAATTACAAAGGGCGTTTTACATTTGAATGACTAAACGATACCAAATATGGATGATACATTACCCAAAAAAAAAAAGAGCGAGTGAGAAATCAGAAACATAAAAGAGAAGGGTACTTTGGCAGAAAAGGGCAAAAATCACAAGAGCGTAAAACCGAAACAAAACCCACAAAACTACATATAACAAACGATTACAGGGCATGAAAAAAGACAAAACCCAACATTACATTTTTATAATAATAATAATAAAGACTCAGCAGCAGAAGAAAGGAAAGAGGCAAGGGGAAGGGGATTACTGGTAGTACATGAGCTGCTGCGCGGCCGCAACGTTCTGGTACCCACCATCGTAAATGGCTTGGCTC